CCCCTCTGCCTATCGATTTTCCTTTTCTGCTCCTCTCTCCCTTGTGTTTGACACCTCTTCCTTCACTCTGCCTCTTTCCCATAGTGTGCAAGTGGGCTGTTATGGCATATGGGGATGGGGGCAGCTAACGAGCCTTGTACGTTAGAGGCAAAGTGGAGGAGGCGTTAAGAAGACAGAGAAACTGAATGATTTCAATGTGTCTTTGTTTCTGATTTTTATCCTTTGATTCAGTGTAAATATTTTTTGTAAAACACTGAAAGAAATAATAATACTGTGAAACAAAGTGTCACTCTGGTTTGTTTGTCTCTTTGCCTGTCTGTCCTTTCATTTTTCCTTTCTTGCTCATCTTATTTCTTCTTCTACTTCACGTGCTCATGCTCTTAGTCAATAGTTCTGTGASAATATATATATATATATATGACGATATATATAGAAAACGAATCTTTCCGCTAAAACACGGGAAAAATAAACTTTCCTCTTGACGTTTGTCTTCAAGCGCAGCTTCTACCGCTCAACCCCGCCAAACCATCGCTTAAATCGAGAATCTGACGTGGCCATTCAACTCGGAATGGCCCAAAACCCCTCCTTATCATCCTAGCTCGTCAAAATTGGTCAAGAGATGTCGTTTTTGCTCCCTGCGACATGGCCCGTATCTGCTCCCACCATCTCCCGACGCACTGTTTTTTTTTTTTTTTTTTTACTAACTCCTATACTAATTTTTCACTAAAACTAACTCCAAAATCGGGTTCGCCCGACCCAAATACCTTAGTCTAGCATCCTGCCCCGCTCGAATCCATCAAGGATCGAGCGAGATTCAGACTTATCGTTCCCACCTTCTTCTTCTGTCCCGCCATACCTCTGCGCACATCTTTGCCTTCTAACTCCCATCTTACTAACTCTTCGGCAGAACTAACATTATATTCCACTTCGCCCTACCTAAAAACGTCAAACTAACCTCTCCACCCAGTCGATTCCATAGAGTATCGAATGAGTTACTCCTTTCCCTCTTCTTTCCGCCATAGCTCCCGACATCCCTCAGCGCAGCACTCTTCCCTTTTAACTCACACTCTGCTACTCGAACGCCCATACCGTTGGTACCATCAGCTTCGCAGTAGCCGAGAACCCCTATTTAGGGTCTTCTCTCGTCCGAATTCACCAAGAATCGGACGAGCTATCACTTTCCCAGTCCGCCATGTCCATCCCCCGTCGCTGCGCTCTTCCCCTTTCTGTGCGCGCACCCAATGCAGAGGCCTGTCCAGATTCATTTGCTCTTCCTGCCTTCCCTTTTTTTGCCTTCTGCTCGTCGTCTCTCCCCCCACCTGCCTTTCCCTTCTATGCCTAACTGCTGCGCTAACCCAGGCACCGTAGAGAGGCCGATCGGTACGGGAAGTAGGACTTCTACAAATGAAGCAAAAAGCCCACCAAACACTATGTTACCGCCTATCTACCGCGGCCATCCACCTGACATTGTGTAGTGCCTATGCATGCGACCTTCACTCGACCGCTGTAGTGATCCCAGAGCCCCATTGGATGGGAGGGCACAGGCATGCGACCGGGCCTGCAGCGTGGGTAATGGGACGGGTGTTGGTGCAAATCTTGGTGGATGTGATAAGTATCCCCACCTGCTGGCTTGTCTGCGACCTGCCCCCTGTCCCACCGTGCCCGTTACTCAGTTTCCAAGCTTCGGGCCCCCACGGCTTGCTCATCCTCAAGCCTCTTACAGGAGACCGTGGTGGTAATAACAAATATTCCAATGAGAACTTTGAGACAAAAAGGGGGGCGGGTTCCGTGGAAACGATGGCTGCAGCTAGTGCCGCTGCGAGCCTCGCTCTGGCGCCCCCTGTGCGCAGGCGAGTGGACCATCATGCGGGACCCGGCAGGCATGTTCACAGCAGACTGTGACCGGCGGGCGGTGCACCTGTAGCAACCCCCGCCACCCTCAGGCTGCTGTCTCACGGCCTGCTTAAACTTCCCTTCCGCTTTAAGCCATCGACGCTCTCCAAATAGGAGGCGAGGGAAGGTATGACCCCGAACCTCACCACACTCGCAAACGCTGACCTTCCCGGTCCGTGTTCCAACGCCGGTAGGATGGAAGAATTCTGCCAACATCCCCAATACGTAGGAACCCAAACGGGCCCGCCGAAAGAGGCGCTTGGTCAAAATCTTTGACTGTCATAACGGCCACCTGCGCCCTGCGGTAGAGTAGCTAAGCCGGGTCCGTTGGTCCCGGCGTCGTCCTTGGAACCGATCACTGAGTCAAAGGCACAAAATAAAGGTAGGAATAGTAATAATAATAAAAATATCAATGCACAAAAATAATAAAAGTGGGGGAACCACAAAAACTAAGGGGACGAGGGCCTGCACGACCCGCTGGCCTGCGACGCCGCGCATACCCAGGCCACGCATGGTTGTGCCTTTCCGTCAACACCCTGCGCGCGCCGCTTACCCAGGCGAGGACCTAAGCCTCCTCTCTCGCGCACGCCGCCGGGCGGGCGAGGCCGCACTCACGTGACTTGCCGAGAACACGCCAAATACCCTTGTAAGGGTATTTGGTACGACATCGGTCAACAATCACCATGACTTGTGAGTAGCCGTTCTTACTTACCTTTCCCATGTCGGTGAAGTCAATGGAGACGGACTCCCTGGGACTATCGGGAATGGGAAGGCGTGCGAGTAGCCCCATGGGCATTTGTCTGCATAGTTTGATTCGTTGACAGACGTGACACTCAACCACAAACTTTTCAGGAGTCCCTTTCATGCCAGGCCAATCAAACCGTTGCAGCAGATTTGCGTACGTCTTTGCCATGCCGAAGTGTCCGCTCTGGCCATGAGCCAAATCCCGAAAATGCGTGCGGAGAGGCTCATGGTTGGGCACACACAAGCGGTCGTGGTTCCCATAGCGACGGAAAATCAGTTCTCCATATTCGTGAAAATCAGGCTGACTACTAGGATCAGCCGCAACCGCTCAAGGATGGGACTAAGTTCCGGATCCTTGGCTGTCTGCTCTACGAGCTCCTCCTTCAGTTTCTTCCAGAGGTCGTAGGATTTCACAAGGCAAGTCATGTACTCAGGGTGGCGAGACAACGCGCCAGCGACTCGATTATAACAGCCCTTTTTGTGTCTCAACTCAAAGTCAAAGATGTCAATTTCATGGAACCAGTGAATTAACGTAGGGGACAGGGTATTTTGCTCCTTGATCCACTTCAGGGTCTCATGATCTGAGAACACTTTGAAGTCACTGTGGCGTCCCAAAAGATAGTGCTTCCAATGGTCCAAAGCCATCCGCAAAGCACAGAGCTCGCGCATGTAGGTGGAAGTGGCTACCTTTACGCTGGGCATGCGTTTGCTGTAGAATTTGAGCGGCCGCAAGCCATCGTCGTCATCTTGCTGCAGCACTGCGCCGATTCCATATTGACTTGCATCCGTAGTAACTATGAATGTCAGTTTGGGATCCGCAATGCGGAGTACTGGGTAACTTACCAAGGCGTCTTTCAAAGCTGAAAAGGCGTTCGTGCACGCGGTATCCCAAGAATAGGGAATATTCTTACTTGTTAGTCGAGACAATGGACGCGCAACAATGGAGAAGCGGGGTACAAACTTCTGATAGTATGACGCGAGACCAAAAAAAGAGCGCAGTTCGCGAACATTCACAGGTTGAGGCCAGTTGCGTACGACCTCTACCTTGGTTGCCTCAGGCTCTAGGCCAGCAGCAGACAACTGGTGCCCAAGATAGATGACACTATCCTTCCAAACTCGGATTTCTCTAAGTTGAGATGGAGTTGCGTCTTCTTGAGGATGGTCAGTACTTCCTCAAGGTGCTTGAGGTGTTCCTCCATGGACTTGTTGAAGATTAGTATGTCATCGAGGTAGACCACCASGAATCGGCCAATCTGTTCGCGGAGGACTTTGTCCATGAGGCTTTGGAAGGTGGTCGGTGCGTTCGTGAGACCGAAGGGCATCACGGTAAACTCGTAAAGCCCATCGCGTGTTTTGAACGCAGTTTTGTGCTGGTCCGCATGATCGACTTCAATCTGGTGGTAGCTAGACTTGAGATCGATCTTGGAAAAGATCTTGCACCCACTTGTGACATCAAGCAAGTCGTCTATTCGGGGTAGTGGATAGGCGTTCTTTCTTGTGATGCGGTTTAGGCCGCGATAGTCAATACACATGCAGAGTTTGCCTCCTTTCTTCGGAACAAACAAAACAGGAGCACCAAATTCAGACTCACTAGGCGTGATCCACCCTTTGTCAATCATGTCGTCAATCTGTCGTCGGAGTTCCTCCAATTCGCCGGGTCCCATTCGGTGTACGTAGCCCTTTGGAGGAACAACACCCTCGACCAACTCAATGGTGTGTCGGACGGATCGCGTGGGGACTCCACGTGGCTCGGCCAGAACTTCCGGAAACTCATCGAGTAGGTTTTGGATGTTTGGGGGAACCGGTGGGGGTGGAGGATCAGCAAAGGGATCACCTAGATCAGGTCGCAGGTTGTGAACATAGGCAACCGAGTCTGAAGTGGGATCATTTGGAGTAGTAGGAGGTAGAGAAGTAGTACTAGAAGTAGTATCACTAGGTGATGTAGTAGTGGTATTAACCGCAAAAGTAGATGGCACATGAGTAGGACGAACAAAGGCAACATACAACTGTTCTTCCTCCTTGTGCTTGCGTCATTTCTTGCCGAACTTCATAGCATTCAGAAAAGTCAATGGGGACTTGTGCTTCTCATCCAAGAGGACAGGAAGCTCGTTCCCTCGGACATCTTTGACCATGAAGAGTGACTCCTTCCACTTGGTCCATTCGCATTGCGACTGCACCCAGCCCAAGCCAAGGACATCGTCGAAGGGGCACTTGTCAAGGACATAGAAGTTCAGTGCGTGGGTGACAATTTTGTTCTTGTCAAAGGTAGTGCGCACACTTTTAAATGCATGCGCAGAAGAGACAACTTCCTTGTTGCCAACTTGGGTTCGGCAAGGGTTCTGCAAGGCCACTTGCTTCATTCCCAAGCCCACTTTGTGTATCCCGTGAGGTGACATAAAGTTAGCCGTCGCGCCACAGTCAATCAAGACACGGAGATAGCGGTGGTTTATGAGAAGTTTGAAGAAGATCAACTTCATTGTCCCTTGGGCACGTTGCTGTTTAATCTCAGCCCAATGCTCCAAGTGGTAGTGGAAGTTGACCGTCCCAAACTCCTCCTAAGACTCAACATACAACACATCATACACTTCAGCCTTGGCTTCAACAGATGATTGGGCTTCAAGGGAGGACTGCTGATTTGCATCAGATTCAATCTCCCTTGCTGTAGAGGATGCTGAAGTCGACTCTACGCCCGATTCTGGTTTCCCTGCAGCCTATAGCAATCCTGTACCTTATGGTCGGTTTCTAGCAATGCAGGCATACCCCCTTCTTGAGTCTACCCCGCCAATCATTTTCAATGATCCGGAGATCGACCCATGGTTTAGTGGCCGCATCCTCCGGTTTTGCTGGGATCTTGACTCCCTTGGGAAGTTGGACATAGTTCTTCCCTGCATTCCGACTTGGTCCTTTTGTATTGGCAGTCTTTTTAAAGGCAGTTAATTTTTCTTCTTCTTGGTTTGCGTCAGACTCATGGGATGACGAACAGGCTATATCGATGTCCTGTTCTTGGTCGTCACCAAGAGTGGGGTCATCTGCATCGGCCTCTTCTTCAGCCTCCAACAGGTCATGCACAGAAAAACGGCTGCTGCCTTTGAACTGCTTGCCGCTCATGGGCTTTTTGCTGCCTGCTGTGGAAACGAGGTCTATAGCCTCAAGACTGACTTTGTCCTTCATAAGAGTGAACAAGTCAGTGTACCCAATGAAGTCCTTGCCAAGGCGATTAGTGAAACTGGTGGGAACCGCGCCTTTGACCACATCCAAGCAAGATTGGTCAGTCAGTTCTAACCCGGGTGTAGCAAACATCTTGCTGAGGTAGGTCTGCAGGCTTTTCATGGACCCCGTCCACTTGCTGCGTTTAATTTTATCAAGCTGGCTTCTTGCCCTTGCTGCAGCGAGTGGATCCATATACTGGGAAATGAGGAGTTCCTCGAGGGAGGCAACCGGGGTGGCCTTAAGCCACCTTGTCAGTTCTATCTTAGGAACCCCAGCTCGCGTAGCTTGGACCTCTAGGAAGCCTCGTGCGACAGGCTCGATATTCATTCCCATGATCACGGACTGGGTCTCAGGTTGAGTCCCCAAAACCTCAAAGTATGCCCTCATGGAGCTGATCCAGGATTCAACGTCTTCTTTGCCGTCATACTTAGACGGTATTTGCACCGCCTTTCGATCCACATAGGGATCGGCGCGGCTGGGACCAGTACCTGCTGGTTCAAATCTTGGGGCTGCAACAGTTGCAGAATTTCTTGCCTCGTTGCTTGGTACGGCAACAACGGAATCTACACCTGTTGCAGGTCCCGAGGGGTTTGCCATCACACTCAAGGAAGAAGTAGAAGAAGATACGATAAGAGGGGCAAAGTTAGTTTCAATTGCAGCTCCGGAACCAGGGGGTAGAGGAAGAGGATTGGCCGCTTGGGCTTGTCGCAGCGCAGCAACCTCTATCGTCAAGTCACGGTACTTGCCGGTCATCTCTGTCAGCTCCTCCTGAAGTTTCTACAATTTTGTGAAGACTTAGGCGATCTGAGTGGTATGATCTTCAAGGCTTCGGACTTGGACGATAGCGGTACGTATGGACTGCAGTTGTTCCCCACACTGCTCTTTGTTCAGCGAGGGGACAGTTTCCAAGATGGCCTCCTGACTTTTCAACAACAATTCCTTCCTCTCCTTCTCCGCTTCCTGTTCCCTTTCTATAACACTATCTAGGAGTGCTTGCCGATACGGTTTCTCCGTATCGCTGGCTGCATTTAGTAGGGCCCGCCATTGTCCTGAGGATAGCCGGGCCATTTTCAGACTGTTAGTGTTGGCAGGGGGGTCAGAGAGACGCCAATCAACAAAAGAATCAATTAGACTCTCAAGAGGTGCACTCCCCTTTTTACTTGGACGAACACTCCTTTTCCCAGTCCTTACCCACTCCAGACGGTCACTTTTCCTCTCTTCCTTTTCTCTCTCCCTCCTCTCTCTCTGTTCTTTTTGGTTGCGAGTCTCCACGGGCATCGAAAATGAACTCAGAGAAACAGACTGAAAAGCCAAGAGAAGAGAAGGTAAAACTCCTAGCCAGAGCGGCATTTCATTTGGACTTAGAGAGCAGCAAACCAAAAGAAAAACAATCAAATTCACACGAGAGGTCTGATCCAGCGACCCAGTCGGATCAGACTGCATACGAGGTCCTCTCGAGTCCAGTCTGACCAGATCCGTGACCGTATAGCAAACCAGACAACGAGTGACTAAATGCAACAATGGAGAATTGAGTGGTGTACAAGGTGCGAGTCAAGCCATGCACAGTGCAACCAAAAGACATGCAAAACGTCTCAGCCGAGATCCCCTCGGCAGTGGGTGTCCTAACCAAGAAGAAAGAACTACGTAACACAGTCAGAAGACAATGGGCTAATGCCTAACCGATTTGGGCCCAAAGGGCTCTTCTTGTTTGAGCCCGGTCCCATTGGGTTCCAGAGGTCCCACGTAGGTCGCGGCCAGGTCCCAACCGAGAGGAGTCCCTCATGGACTTAGTTCAGTTTCTACTGTACTGTAAAACGAAATTTCAACTTCCGGTAGAACCTACAGACTACAACCGTTCAGAGATGAAAGACAAAGCACTGTAGAAAGACTCAGCATTTAGATCAAGATACTTCATTTCCCATCCATCAGGTGAGTAGGTAGATCACATTCATTCAATCACACAATCGAGACCACAGAGGAGTAGGAAAAGAAACCCAGAGTAACCCCAGCAGGACAAACCATACCATGCACACACACATGGGCATCCCGTAGGTGCACGACACTTACCTGAGTGGCCTTGAGCTTCGAGATGAATAGAACTCACCCCCCTCTCATGTGATCCTCCTGACCCCTCTAACGCTACCCCTACACTAGTGTCCTATTTCCTAGGAGGGTCCGACTCCAACACCCAAGTGCAACGCCGGATTCCCCGTCGATGCTGAAGAACAAGGTAGCAACTTGCAGTCCGTAGATGTTGAGTGGCTGCTGACCCTCAAGCTCGCCTACTTGAGGGCAGCCCTTAAGTTGCCAAGTGTCTCCCTTGAATCAGATTCCAGGTGCGAGTGCCTCTCACTGTCCCCTCTCTCAAATCGCCGCATGAAGTCTCCTAGAAATGTCTCGCCACCCTAATCTCACTCTCAAGCAACCTGGTTAGGTTCAACGTCGACCCTCCGTGACCTAACCAGGTGGGGGCAGCTTCCCTCAGCCACGCTGCCCCTCTCCCCTTCACACACCAACCCTAACCCTAAGTGGTGCCCTCAACCACTTAGGTTAGGGTTAGGGCAGCAAAGTCAACTCTCACCAGCAAGTAGAATCCGCTCCGATACCAATGTTATGATTGTGGCCAATTTCGAGATACACATCCATCAGATAGTACAATGCCCCCCAATTGCAGAAAGAAATGAATGAACTTGAGAGAAGAGAGGATTAAAAGAAGAAGAACAAGTAAGAAAGAAGAAGAAGATGATGTACACCAGCATAGACAAATGACAAGGCTCTTCTTCTTCTTCGCCCTACAATCTCCTTCTCCTTATCTCCCCCTTCTCTGATTTCATACAAGAAATAATAATACAATGTTGAATAGCTGATCCAGAATCAATGTCCGAGTCCCTCTTCTACTGCAGGTATCACTTGAGGTCCACCATAGCCATGGCCGCCTCTCCCACTCTTCACTCTCATGGGCTGAGGCTATGGCGGACTACTAGGCCTTGCCCAGATGCCCAAAGGACAACCCAAAGCAGCTATGGCTGCTCTAGCTCAGGCCGCCGTGCCTGACCCTGCCTCGAAGCTTCTTGGTGTGGCTCTCCCCAGTTGGGGACTCCCTGCTGCAGCGCCCACCAAGGCGATGAAGATGGCTGCCACCGTAGCCAGGTAAGTACCCCTGGCGCTCCTCCCCCTTCCCTCCTTCTTCCTCCCTCGTGTCCTTCTCCTTCCTCCCCAGCAGTGCTGCTCCAGCATAGCGCTGCTCCAGCCAGCGCTCCAACAGCGTGTCGCCAAACTTGCACACCGAAAAAGAGGCCGGGCTCTTCACCCGGCTGGGAGATATAGCGGCCTGCTTGCCTCTTCGGGCGGTGACTTCCAGGCCGCTCGGCCTTCCAAGCAACTGGTACCTCCTCCCTTTCGGAGGGAAACATCATTGCAGACTCTGATATTGCCCGTACAGGCCCTAGACCCAGACTGGTTGGACTGGTATCCACCTAGACCTAACCTACAACTACTGGGCCTCTAAAAATGCCACTGTTGTCTTCTTCTGCTCGGCCTCCAGTACCCGCACATCTACCCCTTCAGGGTGCGGTACCGGCCTACCCGCTACTTAAGTGTTTTTCCTGCTGCAATCCCTCAATGTCACGGCCACAGGTAAGTACCGGCCCTGAAGGCCCAATGAACGAGCAAGTGCCCTTGCGGGCCACACACACAATCAAGCCAACCAGCACTCAGACAGGCACGGCCACACACACACTCAAGCCAACCAGCACTCAGACAGACATGCAGTCCAGCAAGCGTGCACACACAGACTTAGTAGCAATCGGGAAACTCAGCAGGACATTCCGTCTATGGGCAAAACTCAGAAATCAGCTGTGTTTCAGTCCATGTTTGGATGGGTCATCACATATAGATGAGTCGGTGAAACTCCGACGAAACAGTTTGTCACAGCCCCTCGTTTGTTGTCCTCTTCTCTCTCTCTGCCTACGGTTTACCGGGCAGTTCTGTTTGTGACGATATATATATATCGTCACACACATATATAT